TCCACGACATCTTCATCTGACTGCAATCTATCATATTATATGATACTTGTTGAGTACATCCAATAAAGGTTTTTTCTTTCGTGCACATTCTTCTCTCGAGTTGATAGGATATAGTGATGTGGATTGGGCTGGATGTGCAGATACTCGTCGCTCGATTATTGGTTGGTACATGTTTCTTGGGGGTGCCCTAATTTCATGGCGTAGTAAGAAAAATGATCGTGTCTCTAAATCTTCCACTGAATTTGAGCATCGTGCTATGTCTTCTGCTTGTTTTGAGATTGTTTGGCTACGAGGCCTTCTATTGGAGCTTGGTTGTCCTCAACTTAGGCCTACTCCACTTTATGCTGATAATACTTGTGTCATTCAAATTGCTGCTAATCCGATGTTTCATGAACGCACTAAACACGTGAAGTAGATTGTCACTCATCCGTGAGGCTTATGATGGTCACATTATTTCTCTTCCACATATCACTACTGATGTTCAGATCGCTGATGTGTTTACTAAGGCAATGACGCGTCAACGTCATCAGTTTCTTGTCGGTAAATTGATGCTTCTTGATCGCCCAACATCAATTTGAGGGGGGATGTCAATGAGATGGAAATTACAGAAATTACGGAAGATTACGAAGATTGACTATACTATAATTACTTAACTATACATTTTATTGTAATTAGTCTTAACTATATATTTTATTGTAATTAGTCTTGTTATCATATTTAGGATGTATACACTTATTTAATGGAAGAGCCCCAAACAGGGAAGGGTATTCAGCCATTCAATGAAAATATTTACATAAGTTCCCATGTTTTTTTACTGAATTACATCAGTTGTGTATGAAGTCAGAATGTTATGCATATATTGTTAGTTACTGTAGTTTCTTTTCTTTCTGCAAATTTGTAGTTACACCAGACAATCACTGTACTCTAGAAAGCACATTTCTGCAACGCATTCTATGAAACATCTTTTATGCTTGTCCATCAAACTATTATTGTGCTTATCCACCAAATATTTTGTCAATTGCACACATCAAGTTCAAAAATTTCCTTCTAAAGTAGCAAAAACAAGCTTTATTTAATACAAATTCATATTTGTTGGTTTTCGTGGGAACAAACTCATTGTCTTGCAAGAATATTAGAGTTACCATCACTTCACAGTAGTCATTTATGACTCTCCTTTTTGAAGCTTTTGCATACTACAATATGAGATTAATAATTATAATTTCATCACTAAAATAACAAACTCTAAAGAGTTTGAGTAAGCTACTATAGGTACCCAGTACATTAGTAAACACCCAGAAGAAGTCGAGGGAGCTGGATTTTTACAGAATATTATCATAAGGCTCGATCATTCTCTTTCTTCTTCCCTTCATAAGCTCAGGGGCACATGCATGTCAAGCAAGATAAAGAGACGAGGGTAAGAGAGGAGAGAGGAGAGGGAAGACTGAAAAAGAAAACCACATTTCTCTTTGGAATGTCAATTTAGTTATCATGCCCTGATAAAACCACATTTCTCTTTGGAATGTCAATTTAGTTATCATGCCCTGATATGGAATTAATGAATGCTATTTGAGATTGGGTTAAATTCTTCAACTGGTGCTGAGGGGGATTCTTTCATCAAATTCCCCATCTTGGTTATTTGGAACTAATGCAGGATATGTTTTATTCATTTAATTTTTATGTCTGAAAATTCTTTACGACCTCACCAAGTTTTTCCAGGTTACCCTTTATCGAGTAAAAGGACAACATATATGCTAGGCTCATTTTATGTGTATCGTGCAGGTGTGGTTGGTTTGACTGTCCTGTAACGGACCGCATGACATTTCTCATTGTATGTTTCCTCGAGGTATATGGCAACAGTAT